GAAGGTTTGAAAGAAAAAACTTTGGTCTAAAAGAAGGTGCTCTTTCCAACAAGTCATGTATTTATAAGAGGTGGAGGGGTCTATGTGTGTGTGAGAGAGAGAGAGAGAGAGAGAGAGAGACAGAAAGACAGAGAGACAGAGAAGCAGGCAGTGGGGAAACAAGAAGGCTTCTCATGTCCTCATGCACTTCACTGGCAATCCTAAGATCACAGATTTAGAGCTGCAAGGAACCTCCGAGATCACCTAGTTCAATCCCCTCAGTTTACCAGTTAGGAAACTGTTGCCCTTAGAGGTAAGTAAATTGCTTACATAGTTACCAAAGTCACAGTAAGTGAGCAGATCTGGGATTTAAAACCAAGTGTTATGATAGCACGATGCAGTAGAAAGTATCTTACATATGGAGTCAAAGGACACAGGTTCAAATTTTAGCATTGACACAATGTATGCAATTTACTCACCTCTGAGGTTCCTTGGTTGTTGTTTGGTAATTTTTAGTTGTGTCCGACTCTCCGTTTTGGGGTTTTCTTGGCAAAGATAGTGGAGTAGTTTGTCATTTCGTTCTCTAGCTCATTTGACAAATGAGGAAACTAAGGCAATCAGGGTTAAGTGACTTGCCCAGGGTGACACAGCTGCTAAATGCGTTGAGACTGAATTTGAATGCAGGTCTTCCTGACTCCAGGCCTGGTGCTCTATCCACTGTACTCTAGCTGCCATATGTTCCTTGGTAAATTTATTTAAATTCTCTGAGTCTTAAGTACTTTTTCTTCTCTAAAATGAGATGTTTGGACAAGTTGATCTTAAAAATCAATTACAACTCTGACCTTAGATGACTCCTATCAGTCAGTCAACAAGTATTTATTGTTTCCTATGTGTGTCACTGTACTAAGTGCTGGGGATATAAGAATGAAATAACTACTAGTCTCAATGAACTCACATTCTAATGTGGGAGATTTGGTCACTGACTGGTATTTGGGTTGAGGGAGTGTGAGGAGTCAAAGATAATGCTGAGACTGTGAGCCTGAGACACTGAACAAATGGGAGAGGAGCTTTGACAGAAACAGGGAAGTACAGAAGAGGGGGAAGTTTTAAGGTTTCTGCCTCCTTTCCACTAGTGTAACTGGATAGTTCACTACAGTTTTACTGTACAAAGAAAAGTGACACAAAGATCTCTCCTAAATATTAAATCATTAAATAAAATCACAAAAGCCTAAAATCATAAATGTAGGATCTAATTAAGCTAGAGAAAATTTATTTTTAACCTAGAGTTTAATAAACTATAAATCTCAAATGACTGAATATTTTTTACACATCTCGTATACTAAATTTACTTTTTACAAAAGTAGAGTTGATGCTGCTTTAAAATTTTTTTATTGTAAATATAATGCTATCAACAAAAATGATAAAACACATCTGCTAAATAAGGATTAAAACATTACATAAAGCCTTTAGAATTTCACAGTATAGAACCAAATGAATCAACAACCAAAAATTTTTAAATGTTTTTTGTCCTGTGTCCTCTTTTAAGTCTATCTGAAGTTCTGTTACTTTTGGTTCATCTTTCCTTCTACTAGAATAACTAATTAACCCCAAAACCCAAATCATTCTCTATTCTGGTCAAATTAAAGTTTTTACAATATCAAGCTCATTGCCAGACAGTTGGTAGATGGTAAAATTTTTGTTCACAGTAACCACAAAATAGTCTCTTGAGATATGTGAGGATTGTGATTTGTACCTGTAGAGAGAACAGCTATACCAGTGCTATCAAAATCAAACCTGTGGGCAGCATACTGACTCAGAAAATCACAAATTAATATTATTTAGGTTGCTGTATTTTGTTAGACATTTCCCAATTACATTTTAATTACATTTGGGCTCTATCAGGAGTTTTGTGGCTGGAGATGGAAACTTATTGATCTACACTAATAGAAGTATAGAAGTTGATTTTTCTAGACATTTTTTTGGTGGGGCAATTGTGACTAATAAAAAAAGTAAAAAAAGACATCTATCTTCAGTAAAGTTAGGCAACTATATACAACTGCCTTTTTTTTTAATCTTTACCTTCCCTTTATCTTCTTTTAAAAAAAAAATCACTTTATTGGTATTTAAAATTTTTTTTAGAACACCTTCATTTCCCAATATATGCCTTGCTCCTTTCCAACCATGGAGCTATCCCTTATAGTATTAAAAAGAGGAAAAAAAAAAACAACCAGCAAAAGCAATCAGCATATAAATTTTTGTCTGACAGCAAACAGTTTTGCAACCTGTTGTCCTACATCTCTGCAAAGAAGGGTATACTTTCCCACTTCTTTTTAAGATCAAACTTGCTTCTTATAAAACTCTGCAGCACTTTTGTTTTTTGACAGTATTTTTAGTTGTTAGTTTTTTCATTTACATTATAGCTTTCATGTACATTTCTCCCCCTTTCTATTTTACTTCATTCCACAACAGTTCATATATTCACATTTCTCCTAATTCTTAATATCCATCATATTACTGAATAGTAACAACTCTTCATGTTTATTACCATGGCTATTTTGCTTCTAGGTCTTTGTTATATGAGATCTTTCTTTTTTTGATCTCCTTGGCTTATGCCAAACAGTATGATCTCTGGGTCAAAGAGTATGGATATTTTAGACAAATTTTTTAGTATAATAATAAATTATTTTCCAAAGTGGTTGGATCAGTTCACATCTCCACTAGCTCCACCAACATAGGCTAGCTATTTCCCTATTTCTTATCTTTGCCAATTTATTGAATATTAGGTAAAATGTTGTTTGATTTGCATTTATCTCATTATTAGGGAATTGGAAGAATTTTTCATGTGGTTAATAGTATGTACATAATTGTTCCTCATTTGAAATATTTTTCATATCCTTTGACCACTTATCCATTGATCTTATCCATTTGATAATTCACAGCATATGTTGGCTATTATACACTTATAAGAGCTATTTGACATAAAAACATTTTTTTCCTAATCAATACTTTCTTCTAGCTAGGTCATACAAAAGTTTTTCAAATCAATGTAAATGAAATTATGTATTTTATCTTTTGGAATCACTTGTATACATTATTTAAGTATATTCCCTTTAACCATCAACTGTGAGGTATGCTTGATTCCATTATCTTCTTTTTTTACTGTGTCCTTTTATATTCAAGTTTGTATATCCATTTGGTACCTTATTGTGTTACATTATGTAAGCTGTTGGTCTCATAGTAATTTCTGCAAAACTGCCTTCCAATTTCCCCAGCAGTCCTTATCAAATGGGGAGTTATGAGTTATTCAGCTGGATTATTTCTAATTCTTCATTGTATAGTCTGTTTCACAGATCTATTACTGCTTCGTAAGTTTTGGAGGTGCTGCTCACCCTTCATTTCTACTTTTTCATATTTCTTTTGGATTCTACATCTTCTGTTCTTCCAAATGAATTTTATTATTTGTCATTCTTTATTTTTTCAGAGTGTTTGTAATTTGCCTTTAAGTCTGGGGACTATCTAGATTGACTCCCTGGTATTTTGTGCATTTTCCACTTACTTTGAATAGAACTTCTGTGTGTAAAAATCTTACTGGATTTCTATTATTTTATGACACAATCATGAAATTTTGGGTCTCTTTAATTTTTAAATCTTTCTCTCATGCTCAAAGATTTAGAAGTGGAAAAGACCCCTAATGTCACATAGTCCAAACCCCTCCTTTTACAATTGAGGAAACTTAGGCTCAGAGAGGTGCCAAATATTATATGGGTATTAAGTAGTAGTAGATCCTGACTCAAGTCCCCCATACCAAATCCTGTACTGCTTATATTGTATTGTTGTTTTCCATAGTCATTGCTTACCTTTTTTATCCTCCTAACTGCTATGTTTTCCTCTAGTATTTATCTGAGCAAAATTTATCCCCATAAATTTAAATTTGCTGCTGAGTTAGGAGTAAACACAGCAAAATATTTCTTATGATTATATAGTCTTTCTGTTGTTTGTATTTGTAACTGACATTGAAGTAAGGTAGCTTTTTCATCTGGAGTTTTTCAAGGCTACTTTCTGCTGTACAATTGAAAAGGAATATATGAAATTCTACCCTTTTGTAGATCTAGGACTGTGACATTTATTAGGGAGTAATGAAAATCACTAGGAATGGAAAAGAACCAATGGCAGACTAGTAAGCCTGTGATTCACATGACTACTTATGTTTGTGTAATATTCTACTCTTTAAGCAACTCTTACAATAATTATACAGTGTTTTACTACTTACAGATTTCTATTTCATACGATCATAAGAACAGCATCATGACAATGTATGGATATACACAAGGGAAGCCCAAAAATCTTGGTGAAGTTTTGAGCTTTAATAGCTTAAAACTGCACTGAGAAGTTTTGGGACATCCTACACTATTATCCCCATTTTACCTATGAGAAAATTTAGAACTTATATTTCAGTGCTCCTTTTATTATATCACATTGCTTTTCTTCACCAACAACTAAGGCCTTCTTATTAGAGTAATGAAACCTTTAATTCTACTGAAAACGTAATATTTCAGTTTTGGCCTCAGGATTTTATTTAATCTCTTAGTGACAAGATCTGGTTTTTGGAAAATATGTTGTCTGGGATAATTTTCTGTAGAATATAACTGCGATTAAGTAATTATATTCCATGCAAATGTAAATAAGATACAGACTTGATCAATAAGGATTTGAAAGAATCAGTAGTAAGAATAATGAAGGGCCTGTTATGTTAGTGATGAAAATTAGCTCCTGAAGGCAGGCATATACTCAAATCAAAACTCAGACAAATATTTATGAGTTGAATGTTGAGGGCCCATAAACACTGCCAACAGCCATATGTCCAAGAAGCACTGGAAATTTTCCCTCCTTCTAAAACAGAGTATCTAAACCTTCCTTGTGTTAAGGACTCCTTTGGCAGGCTGGTGAAACCTGTGGACCCCTTCCCACATTATGTTTTTAAAAGCATAAAATACACAGAAATAAAATACAAAGAAAGCCAATTATATTGAAATACATTTATCAAAATATTTAAAAAACAAACACAAGTTCACAGACACCAGATTAAGAACCCCTATTCTAAAAGAAAGATTTCCAACATAATTATTCAAGAGGCATTGGAGGTTGGGATTGGGGGAGAAGTAACCAGGCTCATCTTCCCCCACCCCAGTGCAGAAATGCACCTCGCTGTCTCTTAACATACTGCTTTATACTTCCTTAAATGGCATAAAGACCATGATTCTGTATAATTGGGTAGAAGTCCTGCATCTTGTAGGCCTGCAACATGATTCTCTACCAAATTGGACAGTTAAGGCAACTAATCCTGGCCTACAGCTCTGAGGTCCCACCCCCTTCCCTAGGCGGCACTACTGCTCATTGGGGTTAGGGTTGGCATCTGGGTATTTGGTAAGGTCAAATGTCAGTACCTTGCTGATAACACAGTCCCCTTGTTCAGGATAGACACCAATCAGACTCTCGGCCTTCGTATAAAATTCTTCCTTCAGTGAAATGACAATGGCTTGAAAGTTGCAAGTTGACTGTTCTTTTATGTAGTTGGCAACCTTGCCAATGTTGGTGTTATCTAATGCTGCATCAATCTCGTCTAGGACAAAGAATGGGGCTGGTTTGTAGCTGTGGATGGCAAAGAGCAAAGCAAGGGCTGCTACAGTCTTTTCCCCACCAGACAGGTTGTCCATGGGCCGGAATCGCTTGCCAGGGGCTACACAGTTGTAGTTAATCCCATCCAAGTATGGCTCCTCTGGGTTCTCTGGCCCCAAGAAGGCCTGAGCACTGCTGTTGCGGGACAGGGCTTTGTAGATCTCATCAATGTTGGTGGCAACAGACTCGAAGCAGGCATTGAAGCGGTCAAAGCGTTCCTTTTTAATCTGCTCAAAGGCATGCTTAGCTTTCTTGGCCCGCTTGCGAGCTGCCTCAAACTCATCTGATGTCTCCTGGAACTTGTCACGCACACTCTCCAGTTTCTCCATGGCCTTCATGTTGGGAGCTGCAATGCGCTGCAGCACACTCTGCTGTTCAGTCAGCTTCTGCTGCAGTGTGTTCATTTCCTGCTTAATTTCCTCTTCAGCCTGAGCATCTTTTAGGTCCTCACAGAGGTCACTATAGTCAATTTCAATGAGGGCCTCACGGGCATAGATGTTGGATGTTCGTTGTGAGCCACTCCCAGACTCCTCTCCCTGGGAGCTCCCTTCTTCTTGGCTGATGTCATCCATGGTGCCCTTGGCCAGGGGCAGCTTGATGTCCTGCATCTTGCAAGCCTGCAACAGGTTGTGACGGTCACTCCGCTTCTGCTCTAACTTTGTTTCTATGGCAGTTACCTCTTTTTGCAGGTGGGTCATTTCTTTGTTGGCCCCACCCAACTTTTTACGGATCTCTTCCATCTCATGGTTCTTGTCATTGACTTCAGATTTCTTTGCCAGATGCTGGTTCTTGAGGTCTTGCAGCTGGGCCATAGTTTCATCAATTATCTTCATGTGTCTCTGCTCCTCCTTTTTGAGCTTTTCAATTTCATTCTCATCCTTCTTTACCGTCTGCTCCCACATGTGCACCTTGTCCTGGTCCTCTTTCAGCTGATTCTTCTCAAAATCTAGCTGAATACCCAGGCGAGTTTTCTGGTTCTCAAATTCAAGCCGTTTCTTGGCTATTTCATTCTGCCGTTTCACTTTTTCTTCCTCAAATTCACGAATGTTGCGAACTCCAATCTCTCGGCAGAACTCCTCAAACACCTCATCCTCTACCTGGTTCATCTTCTCCTTCAGGTCTTTCATCTCTCGTTCCCGGCCCTGAATGATCCTTTTGATGTCATTGATCCGTGGCCCAAAGTTAGCCAGCTCACTCTCTAGCTTGGATTTTTCCTGTAGATTGAGTGCAAGGTGCCGGGTCTTTGTCTGTTCCAGGTCACTCTGGGAGTATTTGAGCCTCATCTGCAAGCCATGAGCCTGGGACTGCACCTGCCTCAGCTCGGCCTCCTTCCGCTTGGCCTTCATCTGTTCCTTTAGCTCCTCTGTCAGACGCTCTTTCTTCTCCTTCAGTTTGTCAACTGCTTTCTCATCCCAGCGGCGGGCCTTGGCTTTGAGGTCACTCGCTCCCCCAGATATGACACCAGACTTCTGGAAAAGTGTCCCATCTAGTGCCACTGTCTTGTGTCTCTGGTGGCCACCAAAGGCAATGCGCCGGGCATCTTCAACATTGTCGCATACTAGAGCATTGCCACAGGCATACTGGAGGGCCTTCTTGATGTGTGGTGGTTCATAGCGAATCACATCAATCACCAGCTTGGCCCCCTTCAGTTCCCGCAGCTTCTCATCTGTTGGTTTCACTTCTAGGTAGTCAAGTGGTAAGAAAGTCTCAGGCTCCCCACGCTGTTCCTTGATGTACTGGATACAGTCCCGGCCAGTCTTCTCAGAGTCCACAATGATGGCATCCATATTTTTTCCCAACACTTTAGTCACAGCAATCTGGTACTTCTTCTGTGTTGGCTGGCACAGATCAATGAGACGGCCATACACAGAACCAGGATAGAGGCGTTTGATGCTCTCCATTATCTCTGCCTTGCGTTGCTGCCGGCTGCTTTCCTGGCGGTCTATGCGGGCATCACCAAGCTGCTCCATCACCTGATTCAGCTCTTTGTTGATTTCATCAATGCGCTGTTTAGCAAGCTTAACTTCCTCAGTTAGCTCCCCCTCTAGTTTTTTCTGTTCCTCTAGAGACTGCTTGCTGGTGGTGATGTATTCTTCCAGCTTCTCAATTCGCTTCTGATTCTCTTCAATTTCCCGAAGCTTCTGTTTGATCTTGGCCTCTGTCTCAACTTTCTTTCGCTCCTCTAAGTCCAGCCGGTCCTGGTCAGCCTTCTGGTCCCGGTTGAACTTCTCCAGCTCCTGAGCCAGGGTGGCTGCTCTTTTACTTGCCTCCTCCTTCAGCCTGTGGTACTTTTTTACTTGGTTCTCCTCCAGAGTCAGGTCCCGCCCCTGGCTCTGACTCTCTTCCTCCATGCGATCTTCAAACTCTTGCCTTGCCTTCTCCACTGACACCATTTCTTTTTCAAGTTCATCCATATCTCCCTTTCTTTTTTTGTACTGTTTCTGGGCATTCTGCAGAGACTTCTTGGCAGCTTCCAGCTTCTTGATTTTGTGTGAAGTATTCTCCTTGGCCTTGATGTACTGGGGCCGCTTCTGATTAAGCTCTGAGTCTTTCTCTTTTATCTCCTTCTCAATCTGCTGCTGCTCACGCATCATTTTGCCTAGTTCTTTCTTCTTGTCCTTCAGCTCTTCTTCCACCTTGTCCATGCGCTTCTTTTCCTTGTCAATCTCCTTGTTCTTGGAAGTGAGTTCCTTATTTAGTTTCTCAATCTCCATTTCATTGTGATACAGTTTGAATAGCTGCAGCTGCACCTGGGCCCGAACAACCTCGTCTTTCAGCCTTTGGTAGCGGTCAGCCTCCTCTTTCTCTTGCTTGGCTTCTTTGCGCTCTGCTGCAATATTCTTCTTTCGGTGGTAATTGAACTGGGTATCTTCCTCAGCCTTTACCATCTCTTTCTTCCGCTTATCATATTCCTGGGCCAGTTCCCCTGAGCGGCTGATCTCCTCAAACAAGGCCGTCCGTTCCTTGGGGTTCTTCATAGCAATAGACTCCACAGCGCCCTGGAACACTAGAAAATTCCGAGCTTTGATGAGGATGCCCAGTTTCTCCAGCTCTTGGCTGTATTCAAGTAGCTGGACCACCTTGTTATTGATTTTGTACTCCGAAGAGCCCCCCACAATTATGCGGGCAAAGGTGCGGTCTTCCCCGCTGTCCTCTGAATACACCATGCTGACCGCGGCACGATTGGCAGCTGGTTTGCCCACGGGAGCCCCGTGGATCAGATCCCGCAAAGTCTTAACACGCAAATTGCTGGTCTTCTCGCCCAGCACGAAACTGATAGCGTCCATGAGATTTGACTTCCCCGAGCCGTTAGGCCCGATAATGGCTGTGAACCTCTGAAAGGGCCCGATTATCTGCTTACCCTTGTAGGACTTGAAGTTCTCGATTTCGATCAGTTTTAGAAAGCCCATGGCGATGCAATGCGAGGCAATCGGGGAGGCAGCACGGGAGAGCGCGGGGGCTGGGGGCAGGCGGGAGCGCGGCAAAGGGGGTCCGCGAGCAAACACAAACACCCGAATCCCTGGAGCCAGTCAAGTCTCGCGAGACGAGCGGTGCGCGGGGTCGCGCGCGCGCTTCTGCGCATACGTGCGCGCGCGCTCGTAGAAAGGCAGGTGGGACTCCAATTAAACCCCCAGATTCCAGTACTCGCCTGCCTGCTGTGTGTAATGACGAGCAGGGTGAAACCAGTTCTCTCTGGATCTCTTGCTCTTAGTCGGCCTGGTGCGCTTGTGTGCTCCTAATCCCCGGAAGAGCCAGGAGAGAAAACCCCGCCCGCTCCTAGCGCCCTCAGGACTTCCTCGCTTTCTGCGCCTGCGCAAATGAGCTGAGTGAAGCGGAAGGGACTATCCCCTTTGTCGTCATTCCGCTCTCTTGCTCCCGCCTTGTGCGCCTGCTGCGCATGTGCAGACTGGCGGGCAGCGTGGGGAGGGGGGGCAAAAGGGGTGGGGAGGCTGGAGCGGTTCTTCGCTGCCCAACCCCTGGCTTCTGTTCCTGCTTCCTTTGCCTGCCTCTCCCGCCAGTGTGTCAGTCCCTAGAGCTTCCGCTTCCTCTCCCTTCACCCCGCCAGCTTCTTCCCAGCTCTCCTCGTTAGACAGTCTGTCTCTTCTTTCTGTCTGTCTGTGTCTCTTTCTCGCGCGCGCTTTTTTTCTCCTCCCTCCCCTTTCCCCTCCAGAGAGACAGACTTTCTCTCTTTTGCGCGCGCTTTTTTAGCTTCCCTCCTCCCCCTTCATCCCCTCCCCTCCTTCCTCCCCTGCCCCCCTTCCTCCCCTCCCTCCCCTTTCTCCTCATACCAGGCAGCTTTTCTCAGACGGCCAAGGAGACCGATTTTCTCTCTGTGTGCTCTGTGTCTCTGCTTTTATGTCTGTCTCCGTATATTTGTGTGTGTGTCTGTGTGTGTGTGTGTGTCTGTGTCTGTCTGAGCTTCCCCGCCCCTCCCCCTCCAGTTTCTCCTTTTCTCCTGTGTAAGGAGCAGGGGGGTGGAAAGATGTCACTGACAGTGAGGCATTCTGTGGGCAGATTTTTCTGAAGGAAGGTTTTCTCGAGTTACCTCCAGCCCCTTTAGCAAGATCTCTCCCCAAACTCCTCTATCATAGTTTAGCCTCGTGGGATACATCTTTTGTCCCAGGGCTGTCAAAATGATCAGCCTAGCTTGTTTACTCCGCCCTGCTGCACGTACATCGTTTCTCTAAAGAGATAGCAGAATGGATCCTTTTTAAAAAGTGTTAACTTTTCACAGTATGGGGCCACCAAGTTTTCAAAGTTTTGAAATCTGTGGTAATTAGACTGGAAAAAAACCCATCAAGATTCACTTAATCCTTCTGGCAAATTATTTTCATTCTTTTTGCTTTTCCGTCTTTTGGATATTTCCACTCTTTTTATTGCTTTGAAAAGAGTTTCATTATATCCTGCAATATTTCCATTTTCCTCTTGGTTTATTCCCTTGAGTTACTTAGGCAAAGAATAATTCACCAAAGCAGAGGGATCCTTTATGTCTTTGCCCACAGCCCGGGCTCTTTGAGGACGTATTTAATTTAAGATTACTACAAAGAAGATAATCATTTATTTGAATCAAACTTGCTTATCTCACGAACTCAAGAGTAGGGAAGTACATGTGAACTGTAGGAATTGAATGAATTGTTGGCATTCAAAGGTGGGATTTTTGTCATTTTGCCAACAAATATACCAGTGTGGAGACATACACAGGAAAAGAGATAGATGGGAAGTGAGCCTTCCTTGAATATTATCATATTTGTCACTAATTTGTTCCAGTAATTACTCTGAACATAGTTGATTTTTGTGAGTTTTGAATAGTTTTCAATTTCAGGATATTTTTCTTAAAACTAAGAGTCATTGAAACAGTCAATAATTAGTATAACTTTTGTTTTTTGCAAAGAGAAAGCAAAGTAGAACCTTTGCTTGAGGAAAGGATCAGGAATCATAATTTTCTATTAATCTTGGACTATGGGTAAAGCTTTTTTTTGTTAATGAGGACCTCATTTGAATGTTATCAGAGCTACTTATTAACAGCCTTAGTGTTCTATTTAAAATGCTTCTTGAAAAAAATAAACATTTTCTAATAAAATATTTGCCTGGACTTTTGGGTTTTTATTGGAATATTAATTTTTTACCGGCACATCTGATATTATATATATGTACACATATATATGTACATAGTAAATATACACACATAAATATGATTATTAATGACATTTAATATTCTCCTTGTTATACATTTAAATGTTTATTTGCCTGATGGGTATTGTAACTCTTTGTGTACTATGCATGCTTGCTTATGTGCTTTTCTTCTTTCAGGAAATAATGTTATGAGAACTATCCATGGTGTTGGAGAGATGATGACCCAAATGGTACTCAGTAGGGGATCTATCTTTCCTGTGTCTGTACCTGATGTACAACCTAGCACCCACCCAATCAAGCAAGCAAGTCCTACTGATAATGAGGACATAACTGTTATGGACACAAAATTAAAAATAATTGAAATTTTACAGGTAAAGAATTTAATAAAAACAATATAGCAAATACCTAATTCAATTTAAGTTGGCCTGACGATCACATAAAATAAGAAAACCATTGTTAATTATAAAACACTATACATACAGATTGTAAGAGCTGTTCTCATTGCCATTTCCTCTTTCTTCCCCACATTTGCTCTAACCTTGCCACCTGCTACATGTAAGCTCATGTAAAGAATGCTCATATATTTCAGATTATTTTATTTGTTGTGAATATGGTATAAGTCTCATAATGGCATTAACTTTTATTCAGTATTATATCAGTTCCTTTTTACTTAGGATATGACACACTTTATTATTATTTTTTATTTAAAAGGTATTTGATAGCAAGGAAAGCCCATGACAACTCCAAGTCTATAATAATTTAGGTCTGACAGCATTTGATTTTATACATTGACATAGATAATATAAAACTAGGAGGGGTAACTAACACATTTAGCCTCACTGGACATTATTCCCCCTCCTGCATTCTGCAATACAGTCAACTGGCCTTTTCTTTTTTTTCTTTACACATGAAACTCTATCTCCTGACTTCATGCCTTTACGCTGGCTGGTATATACTCCCTTATTACTTCTGCTTCATAGAATCCCATTCTTCTTTGTGGTTTTGTCCTTCATTCTCAAAGAAGACCATGACATCAGGGAGATGATGCTATGACTTGCAATTGACTTTGATTTGAGTGAGGGAGGGCTGTGCAAAGTCACTCTCTCTCCCAGAGCCATCTGGGTCCAGTGGCCAGATATAGATCAAGAGGACTGGAAAGGGCCCAGGATGCAGTGGGAGACCTCGGTCCTTTTAAGCTAAGGTCTTTCCCCTTTCTTCTTTAAGACACTGCTCAAACACCCTCTTTTGCATGAAACCTATCCTGATTCCTCCAATTGCTAGTACCCTCCCTCTCAAACTCTATTATATTTAACTACTTTATATATTTGTGTATATCAGTTTTAGATTTATGCTGTGTGAATATGCATTTATTAAGAACTTACTATGTACAAAGCACTGGGGATACAAACAGAATGGTGGAGACAGTATTTGCTCTCAAGATCTCAGCGTTTGCTCACATTCTAATAGGAGGACACATCACATATGGGAGGTTTCTGCTGCGAGTCAAATAGATTCCGTGGCCCTTGGGGGCAGCAGCAAAACACATACTAATGCATCTTGTTTAATAGTCATTTCCACTGATAAAATCACATTTATTTTTGACCTTAAACCTTTGGATGGTGCCACAAACTTTGGTGTAAAAGACCTTTTTTACTAGGTCTTCAGTAGATGTGGCCTTTTGAGGAGGCAGTGACTACAGCACCTGAAGAAGCAGTTGCCAGGTTACGACTTTACAGAAAGTTGCTTTCTGGGATGGTGACTGTTGGTTGGGGCTAGGGTAGCAGCAGGACCCCAGCTCTGTTGGTATTTTTATAAGTGCTTCATGCATCCCTCATTAGGATGTAAGGTCTTTTAGAGAAAGGGTTGTTACTTTCTTTGTACTTGTGGGTAGAACAATGCCTGCTGCATTACTTGATGGTTAATTGATACCTCCTAATTCCTCAAATCAGTACATCTTGTGAGTAGTGTTCCATTCCTAACACAGGCTGAGAAGCGTCATATCCATAGTTCTGTCACATAGGGCCCAGACAGATGACACAATTTCTTCGTGGTCCCCAAATAGTCTTTTATTTCTAATTTATAGATCATAGATATAGAGCTGGCACCTAATTCAACTCCCTCATTTTACAGATGAGGAAACAGATTGAATGACTTGCTCATGCAAATATTAAGTAACAGAAGCAGCTATTTTTCCTTTAAAACCTTAAAAGCAATCATTTATATGTGAACTAATGGACAGCAATACCTTGCAGTCCCTCTGCCTTTGGGCAGCTTGTGTCTTTAAGGGGCTTGCTTGCACTCCATGACCTCTCAGTGTGTTTCTTCTTAAGCATTTGTACCTATGGCACTGTTTTTCTCTTTAAGTTGCTTTTATCTGTGTTTTTCAACCTGGTTTGAATCCTGCATCTATCATAATGTGTAATCTTGGACAAGTCTTTTAATTTTTTTCTGGTCCTCAGTTTGTCAAATGTCCTTAAAGGTCCTTTCTAGCTCTAAACCGATGATCCTATTATCCTTAATAAATACTTGTTGATTGATGTCTACAGTCAATGGGTCCGTTAAAAAATAGATCTTTTGCATAACACTAAAGCAGAAAAATGAAAAAAATCCTAGTTACATTCATCAAATCTTGTTTTTATCCTGGACACTTTTAATGCTATCTGACATGTACCTGACAACAAACTGCTCCATTTAGGCTATGAACCTAGGTCCTGACTCCCAGGTCGAATCATAGATATATCTGGCATCAAAACTTGGGAGGACACGTAGATCTTTCATAACTATTATAGCTGAAAGACATGCCTTTTTTGTGCCTGAACAAGGGACTTGATTC